AAGTAAATAATTTTTTAAAATTTTGATACTGTTTAAATGTGTCAACAGTTTGGGAGAACTGAATAACTGAAAGAAAATATTTTCCAAATAACCAATCTGTGATGTTATCATACACAGATAAACATTCCATTCAGATTGTAAGACCTATCAGCACAAAAAGTTCATAGATAAATTTGCAGATTCTACATTGCAACTAACCTTTGAGAAATGACCACTCGTCAGATTTGGGTGTAGTATCAGAGTATCAGAAGTATCACAACTTCTGAAAAGACTATTAAAATACTCCTTTTCCAACTATATATTTGTGTATGAGTCTGGATTTTCTTCATATACTTCAACACACCATATATTGCAACAGATTGTAGAAGTATAGATATCTTCTATTAAGTTAGACTAAAGATCTGCAAAAATGCGAACTGCCATTTTTCTGTTTAATTTGGAAAATGTAGGTTTTATAAAAGATGTTATTTTTCTTAACATGTAATAGGTTTATTGTTTTATTAATAAATTAATAAAACTTTTAAATTTCAAATATGGTAAATGTCAATAGATATTACCCACACTAATAAAAGCTGGATTTAGAAAAGACTAAGACACCACCACATGTCCCCAGGGACCTCATTTTGAGAGAGGCCAACAGCATGCTATGCGCTTTGGTACCTTGAAAATGTTTATTGGCTACTGAAGAAATGCTATTTGGGAACAAAGAAGCAGAAGGGATTATCTGCCTGATGGAGCCAGGAAAGTTTCACGAAGCAGAACAAATTTGGCTAGTTACATGCTTTAATAAGACCTTAAACTCAATTTTATGGTTGGATCCTAAATATTAACTTTTAAATTGACAAGAGAGTCCAGAACATTTCCCTCTGGAAGTTGTTATAAAAATCAATGTTTTCCAACGTGGGTTGTAACCCATTAATGGGCAATTACATCAAGTCAGTGGGTCTGAACCAGCTTTTTATTTATTTATTTTCTATTTTATTTATTTATTTATTTATTCAAATCATGACCTGAGCCGAAGGCAGATGCTTAACGACTGAGCCACCCAGGCGCCCCTGAACCAGCTTTTTATTTTTTTTTTTTAAGATATATAATAGCATAGTTCTCAAAGTCTTTGGTATGCCAATTGGAATCAGATCTATGATGTGCCGGTCACGGGTGAGCTCTAGAGTTCATAAACACAAGTAGGGGAAGGGGCAGGCAGAGGGAGAAGCAGGCTTCCCATGGAGCAGGGAGTCCGACGTGGGGCTCCATCCCAGGACCCTGGGATCACAACCCCAGCTGAAGGCAGACGCCCAACGACTGAGCCACCCAGGCACCCTGATTTGTTTGGTTTTATTTTGGTTTTAGTGGTTACTCTAGAAACCTTATCACCATATAGGTTTCCTTACCCTCTACCATTTATGCTGTCGTTGTCTTATATGTTGCACTTTTTTACATTAAAAACCCCATCAGATAATTTTATACTTTTTGCATTCAACTGCCAAACATATTTTAGGAGCTCAAAAAAAAAAAAAAGTGGCTCAGTTGATTATGCATGTGACTCTTGGTTTTGGCTCAGATCATGATCTTATGGGCGGTGACATCAAGCCCTGCATTAAGCCCCACATGGGGCTCTTCACTCAGTGGGGAGGCTGCTTGAAGGTTCTTTCCTCTGCTCCTCCCCCCACTCTGTGTGCATGTACTTGCTCTCAAGAGAGAGTGAGTGCAAGCAGGGGGGAGGGGCAGAAGCAGAGGGAGAGAAAGAATCTCCAGCAGACTCTCCCCACCCCCAACCCCCCAGCTGGAATCCCCACATGGGGCTCAATCCCACCACCCCAAGACCATGACCTGAGCCAAAATCAGGAGTCAGACACCCAACCAACTGAGCCACCCAGGTGCCCCTCAAATAAATAAATCTTTAAAAAAATTTATATTTTTATTTATAAATTATTTTAAATTATTATTAAAATTACTATTATTTATAAATAAATCTTAAAAAATATTTACCCAGCTATTTACCATTTCTTTTATTCTTCTTTCATTCCTGATGTTCCAAGTTTTCTTCTGGTATCATTTCCCTTTTGTGTGAAGAAATTTCTTTAAGCAATTCTTTTAGAGTAAGTCTTCTGGTTGCCAATTTTCTTCTTTTTTTCTTAGTCTGAGAATATCTGAATGAATATCATCTTCATTCCTGAAGGAAATTTTCACTGTATATAGAATTCTGGGTGTATAATTCTTGCAGCACTTGAAAAATGTGCCACTTCCTCTGGCCTGCATGATTTCAGATGAGAAATCTGTCATTAGAATGGTTGTTTGCCTATAGGTTTCTTTCTGGCTGCTTTCAGAATTTTTAATGTCTTTAGTTTTCAGCAATTTGATTTTGATGTGTCTGGGTATGGGTGTCTAGATTTATCTTTCTTGTTCAGCTTCTTGAATAAGCTTCTTGAATCTTGACTTTTTCACCAGTACATTTTCAGCCATGGTTTCTTGAAATACTTTTTAGCACTTTGTTTTCCTGTAGGACTCTGATGACAAGAATGTTAGACCTTTTATTCTTGCCCCACAGGTGCCTGAGGTCTTGCTCATTTTTTTTTCCCTCTTTTTCTGTTAGTCACATTAAATGATTTCTATTAATCTGTCTTTAAGTTTAATGACTCTCCTCTGTCATCTCCATTCTGCCCTTGGATCTATAAAGTCAGTTTGTTTAGTTATATATTTTTCAATTCTAAAATGTTTAATTCTTCTTAAGTTCTATTTCCTTACCAATACCTTCTAACTTCTGTTTCTAGAGTGTTCATGATTGTTTGAGCATTTGTATAACTGTTTTAATGTCTTTGTCAGATAATCCCAACATCTGCATCATCTCATCATTGGTGACTGTCAATGGTCTTTTCCCATGCAAGTTGAGGTTTTTGGATCCTTCATAGATGCCTAGTAATTTTCTATTGTATTTCTGGGCATTTTGAATGTCATGAGACTCTGATTCTTGTTTAAATCCTATGGAGAATGGCAATATTCTTATTTTGACAAACCCTTGCTATAGTTAGGTATGGGTCAGACATTCCAAACACTCCTTCTGTGGCTATGTTCCAAAGTCAGTTCAGTTTTCAAATCTTTTGCAGTGCTATTTGGATCTGTCTCATTAGTGCATCACCCAGTGGCTAGTGTGGGACCTGGGCAGAAAGCTATCCATTAGCATAGTTCTCAAAGTCTTTGGTATGCCAATTAGAATCAGATATATGATGTGCAGGTCACGGGTGAGCTCTAGAGTTCATAAACAATTTTATGGGGTTGCTTTCCTGAATTTCTTCCTTTGCACTGTTTTCCCTTTACTTCCCAGTTCTCTGGGGCTTCTCATTTCGGTCCTCTGACCAGAAACTTTCCACTCTTGGTGAGCAACTACCCACTCTCACAATTGTGTCACAGCAGTAGAAAAACAAAAAGCAGCGAAGTTTGTCTCTGCCCTCTTGGAGCTGTAGCTCCACAGAATGGAAAGGATGACTCTGCTTCAGAGTTTTGGCTCCTACAGTTTTCTGCTGCCCGCCATTGCTCCTGACACAGGATTGACTGGAGGCTGGGGTGCAAGGGAATGAAGTAAAAAGAGAAGGAAAAAAAACCAGAATTTTCTCCACTGTCTCTGAGTTTTTAGAGTTTCTTTTTCTGCTTTATGAGCCAGACCAGACAGTTTCTCCAGGGTCTCTCTCTGCCCATCAGTGCTCACTTCCAGGTTTGGGGCTGTATTGAGCCAGGTCCAAGGGTACCAGAGGAAAGACCATAAGGTCATGACCAGTCAGTGGGGCTTCCAATTCTGGCATTCTTCTTTGATCTAGCTGGAGATATTTGCTTTTCAGAGACCCCAGATAGTTGTGCCATGAGTTCTTTTTTTTAAGATTTTTAAAAATTTCATTTGACAGAGAGAAAGGGAACACAAGCAGGGGCAGTGGGAGAGGGAGAAGTAGGCTTCCCGCTGCTGAGCGGGGAGCCTGACGCGGGGCTCGATCCCAGGACCCTGGGATCATGACCGGAGCTGAAGGCAGACGCTTAATGACTGAGCCACCCAGGCGCCCTGTGCCATGAGTTCTGTTCAGGTTTTATAGTGGTGTTCGGTGGGAGAGAAAAGTTTTCATGTGTTTTCTCCATCTTACCAGGAATCAGCCCTTCCTATCCTTGAAATCTCTCCTTACTGGCTTTCATAGCTTGTTCTTTATACTTCCTCTAATCCTGAAATCTAAGTTTCCTTGAGCTCAGATTGGCTCTCCTTTTCTCTGTATGTTCTCTGTCTTGGAGAGATCATCCCTTCTAAAGCATCACAGGATCCTCTGAGGCAGGAAATTCCTATAAATGGGGGGAATCTTTATTACTGCACCCTTCCCCAGAGATGTAAGATCCTACTGGATATTAGCTTGGACCACCATTCCATTTCAAATTCCAAATGTCTTCTCCTTATGCTACCTGTTCTGGTAATGATGCTTTCTTCCCCCCGAAACCCATCTAAAGCCTTTGTACAGTCAGTTCTGCTAGAACAGGATACATACATTCCTATATCACTATGCTATGCAAAATCATGAATAAAAACCAGGGGCCTTGGGGCGCTTCAGCATCACCCGGAGGCCTGGTTAAAGCACAAGTTGCTGGACCCCACCTGCCTCCAGGTCTGGGATGGAGCCGAGAATCTGCACTTGTAACAATTTCCCTGGAGATGTGAAGCATCGGCATCTGGTCTGAGGACTACTCTTTGGAGACCACCGCTTTGCAACGACCGGGAGCTTTTTGAAAGGTCTAGATCTTCTAGCTCCTCCCCACCGTAGCCAGCACCAGCCTGGCGTCCAGACTAAAACAATAATAGATGAACACCTCGTTGTCCTCACGGGCTCGGAGAGAAGCCAGAAGAGGAGAGCGGTGGGCGCACCTGGGTTGGAATCCCGCCCGCGCCGGCCTCCAGGTGCGCGGCGGGAGGCGGACGCCAGGGGGCGGCCTCGCGCTCGCCCTGCCGGGGCTGGTTTCCGGTCGCGCCGGCGCAGGAGGCCGCGTGCCCGACCGGGGGCCGCAGGTAGGCGCGGCGGGCCGGAGGTGGGCGGCAGTTGGCGGGCGGGGGAGCGCGGGGAAGCGGCGGGCGGGCGCGCAGCGTCCCGGCCGGACCCGCGAGAGCAAGGGGCTGCGGGGCGGGAGGGAGACTGGGCTTCCTGTGGGGCCTTCCCTTGTCGGGCGGCCGCCCCGGGCCCGGCAGCGAGCGCCCCGCCCCCGGCCCAGCTGCAGCTTGGCGTGGCGGACGACCCGGTCCGGCCCGGCCCGGCCCGGGCTGCGCTTCGGCTCCCTCCTGCCGGCGTCTGTCCTGCTCGGGATTCTTCGTGCCGCCGCTGCCAGCCGCCTCCAGGCGCGGGGCGCGGGGCCCGGTGGTCGGGGTAATCCTGTGCCGCTCTCTTTTTAAAGGCTGGCTTAGCCGTGTGATTAGTAGTCTTGTCTTCTCTGGCCTTTTTACCTTGACTGTAGCACCTTAAGGCTAAGTAAGCATCCGAAATATTTAAAGTCATTATTTTAATATGCCTTGTGTTCTGTTGGCAAGATGGGATTCTATTCTAAATTATAGTGGGTGGCACCAGTTCGTTTCTTTTCTGGTTGAATTGAATAGTCTGTAAATCGGTAAAAACTAATTTTGTGCTATTGCTTTTCTTTCTTCTAAATGAGCTGTGAGCGTAGAGCAGTGGTTTCCAGTTTTTTCCATTACCAACTTTTAACTATCAATGTCAGAAGTCCTTTGTCTAAACAGTGCCTGAATTTCTCCTACCCAGCTGGCCCCACGTCTTTATTCCTTGCAAACCAGCAACTGTCAGTGTCATTTTGCTTATTTCTGGACAGCAGAGTTCCTTCAGCCATACAGCCTATCCGGAGCCCTGGGCAGCCTACTGCCTACTCCGGAAATACGCCTTTAAAAGAAAAAGGCCCATCAGGTGTTGGGGTGGGCTAAAGATTTCTTTAAGAAATGGGCAGTCTCAGATCTACCTCCCACCCCATGCAGTGACCATGCTATGTTCAATTCGGTCCAACACCTGAGGGGTTGCAGGATTTAGAGAAAGAAGGTGAGTTTAAGGCCAGAAAACTTGGCTCCGCCATGTACAGGTTAGTGACCTTGGCTAAGTCACTTCACCTCATCTTTTTATGTGTTAAATGGGAATAATAACAATTATATATGCCTCACAGAATTGGTGTGAGGTTGACACTGTGTAAAAGTTAGTTGAATTTTTGGGTGAGTGTTTTCTGAGGATTCAGAAGTGGATCTGAGGGCTTAGGGATAATTGAAAGATTATTGAGGCATAACTTCCGGGTCCATAAGAAAGGCATTAAATGGTGTGCCTGGGTGGCTCCGTCGGTTATGGGTCCGAGGACTACCCTTTGGGGTAGTGTGGGGCGCCTGGGTGGCACCGTCGGTTAAGGGTCTGCCTTCGGCTCAGGTCGTGATCCCGGGGTCCTGGGATCTACCCCCACACCCCTGCGTTGGGCTCCCTGCTCAGCGGGGAGCCTGCTTCTCCCTCTCTCGCTCCCCCTGCTTGTGCTCTCTCTCCCTCTGTCAAATAAATAAAATCTTCAAAAAAAAAAAAAGGGTAAGTGAGTAATGATCTAATGTAGATTAGAAAATAATGAATTTTTAGAGTGCTACAGAATTTCCTACCTGATGTTGGCAGCCTTTGTGTGGAAATGAAGAAAGTGGTATCCCTCCAAAAGAAAAAAAAAATTTATAGGCTTCAGGCCCTATAGAAAACACTCTACTACCTGTGGCAAGATAGGATCGTGGAAGGTCACAGCAAGGGGGTTTGAGAAGAAAAGATGGTGAACTCAGATTGGAGGAGGTGCTGGATGAGAGTATCAGGGGACAGGTACGTGAAGAGAGAAAGAGCAGATTCAGTGGGAGTGCGAAAGCAGCAGAGAGGAGTCCTGAGTGATCATCAGGCAGTCAGTGCGTTTTTACTGAGCCCCTGCTGTGTGCCAGCTGCTGAGGATACAGGGGTGCTCGAAGCAGGCGGGCAATCCCCTGGGAACTCACAGTTGAGGAAGAAGGGACGCACATGCCAGAGCCTGGGCATCTCAGAGGAGCGACTTCAAGAACGGAGGGAAGCTCCGGGCCTGGAGGGTGGGGTGCAAGGAAGTGTTTGGAGAGGTGGACAGAGGCTGGAGCTCAGGGGGCCTTATAGGAGTTTGGACTTTGTCCTGAGGACAGAGGAGGACGGTTAGTTGGTTTTAAGCAAGGAGTGATCAGATTTGTGCTTTAGAAAGATCACCCTGTGTATGCCAGCAAGACACTTCCCACACGTGCAGAAGGAGGTGTGTACAAAACTCACTTTGCTGGTGGTGGTAAAGCTAAACACGTGAAGATGGCAAACCCAGTTGGATGTATCTGCATGGATGAACCTCATAAACCTAATGTTGGGATTTTAAAAAAGCAAGTTGCAAAGGATGTATACAGTACTACTTGTATACAGCTGATAAACATCCATATATTATGTGCTGTTATTTATAGGCACATACTGGTGGTGAAAATAAAAAGTATGTGTGGAAATTCTATACACCAGTGGTTCTTGGGCTTTAGCATGCATCCGAATCCCCTGGAAGACTTGTTAAAACAGAGATTTCTGGGCCTCACCTGAGAGTTTCTGATTCAGATCTGGAGTGAGGACTCAGGAACTCACATTTCTCACAAGTTCCTAGGTGATGCTGCTGCTGCCGGTCCTGGGACTGCAGTTTGAGAACTGCTGATGTACATCAGCTTGTGGGCGGTGGTTACTTCTTGGGAGGGAGCAGAATAGGACCGGGAGGGGTTCCAAGGGGCTTCAACTATATATGTAATATTTTATTTCTATAAAAAAGATCTTCAAAAAGCTATGATGCACTGGTACTTGACAAAGCTGGAGGGGTGTTCATGATCTTACTTTTTAGTTTTTTCCATGCTTGAAACATTTCAGGAAGGAAAAAAAATTCTATTTGCTGTGTGGAGAATGGACTGGAAAAGAGAAAGAAGTGGGAGTCCATGCAGGAAACTGTTGCAGAAGCCCAGGTAAGAGATGCTGGCGGTTTAGACCAGGGGGTGGTAGCAAGAAGGGGAGAAGTGAGCAGATTTGAGAGAGGTTTGGGTGATAGAATTGACTGTACGTGGTGATTGGTGGGTTTAGAGGTTGGGGAGGGCAGAACCAAGTCACCTGTTTTGTGACTTGAGCAAGTGGGCAGGTTGTATGCCTGTCACAGTGAGGGAACCCTGGAGGAGGGGCATGCTGGTGACAGGAAAGAGCGCAGTTATGGACATCCCAGGCCTCGATGAGCCAGCTGAGTGAAGTGTAGGAGGAAGATCCGGGCCACAGTGGAGACTTAGAAACCAATGCCATCACCATGTGCGTGAGGGAGATCACGTGGAGGGAATGTGCAGGGTGGAAGGATGGTTTGCAGCAGACCCAGAGGGATGGCATCACCCAGCGCAGGGATCGGCCAGCTTCTGCCCGTGACTTGTGTTTGTATGACCTGCGAGCTAAGAATGCTTTTTACCTTTTTAAATGCTGGGGGGAAGATCAAAAGAGGAATAATCTTTTGTGACACATGAAAACTATATGAAATTCAAATTTCATTGTCCATAAGTAAAGTTTTATTCATGGTTTCTGTAATGTGGGGGGCTGCTTTCACACCCTGGTGACAGAGTTGAATGACAGTGACAGAGAGCTTGTGGCCCGTCATTGCTTTACACTGCCACTTGGTGCCCCACAAGTCCCGTGATGCACTTGTCACTGGATTTCAACTTTTGGCCCCTAAACCTGAATATTTACTGTCTGGCCCTTTACAGAAAAAAGTGCTGTTTCTTGACCTAAGGTCTAAGTTGAGACATACTTGGCCATTTTGAATGTTGTAGAAAAGAGAGGCAGTTTTTTATCCATTTCCTCAAGAGCACCTTCTAAGAATCAGGTACCGCTGGAGGAAGCCCACGAGACTGTGAGGGCCGAGTGGGAAAAGCCGCCATAGTTTCAGTCGAAGTCCCTGAAGACAGGCGGGAATGGGCCAGAGAGAAAGACGCGGGCCTGGAGTCTGTGGGAAAGGTGAGCGAACGCCGTCACGACCCCGACGGGCGTAGCTGGAAAGACGGAGGGGCAGGTGAGCAGACGCCACTGCGCCAAGGAAGGGGGAGACTTGGGTGAGGCTGGAGCGATGCAGCAGAGCCAGGGTTTGCAGACGTTGCGTTTGGGAAGCATTTCTGTTATCCGTTGAAGTTGAGATATAATTCACATACCATTAAGTTTGCTTTTTGAAGTGTACAGTGCAGTGATTTTTAGTACACAATGTTGTGCAGTCATCGCCACAAACAATTCCAGAACATTTCCATCCAAAAAGAAATCCTGTGCCCATTAGCAGCCACTCTCCATTTCCCCTTTCACTGAGCCCCTGGCAATCACTAAGCCACTTTCTGTCTCTATGGATGTGCCTGTTCTGGACGTTTCACATAAATAGAATCCTACAATATATGACCTCTTGTGTCTGCCTTATTTCACTTAGCATCGAGTTTCCGAGTTTCATCCATGTTACAGCATGTACTAATGCTTTATTTCTTTTTATGGGTGGTTAATATTCCATGTATGGCTATATCAGATTTTATTTGTCCATGTATCAGTTGATGGACTTCAGGTTATTTCCACTATTTGGCTGTTATGGATAATGCTGCTGTGAACATTCATGTACTAGGGACTGAGGTTCTTATGAATGTACGTTTTCAGTTCCCTTGGGCATATACCGAGCAATGGATTTGCATGGGTAACTTATGTTTAACCTTTCAAGGAACTTCCAGACTGTTTTCCACCAGCAATGTATACGCGTTCCTATTTCCTCACATCTTTGTCACCACTCATTCTTGCCTGACTCTTTGATGACAGCTATCCTAGTGGGTATGAGGTGGGCTCTCTTTGTGGTTTTGATTTGCATTTTCCTGCTGGCTAATGAAGTGGAGCATCCTTTCGTGTGCCTGTTGGCTATCTGCATATCTTCTCTGGATAAATGTCTGTTCAAGTCCTTTGCCCATTTCCAGATTGAATTATTTGTCGTTTTACTGTTGAGAAGAAATACTATTTTTGAATTGTCCATTGGACATCCAAGTAGAGACTTCAAGTTAGCAAGCGTGGCATTCTGGGGAGGCTGGGGCTGGGGCTTTACACCGGGAGCTGTCAGCCGGTGGGGACAGCTAGCCCGAGCCTGGACAAGATCGCCTAGGGCGTGAGTGTGGAGGTCTGTCCAAGCCTTGGACACTCCAGCAGCTTAGAGTCAAAGGCAGGAGGAGCCGCCAGAGTGCACCTTCCTAACAAAGGCGTTTCAAGGAGCAGGGAGTGATCAGCCATGCCAGATGCCACCGGGCGGACTGAACTGACTGCTGTGTTCAGCAATAGCGAGGTCACGGCGATTTGGTCAGTGTGGGTGGAGTAGCAGTAGGTTCTAGAGAAAGAGAGGGGGGTGATGGAGATAGTGAGCATAGATGGTCTTTAAAGGAGTTGACCAAAAAGGAAAGAGAGATACAGGGCAGTAACTGGAGGGGACGGTGGGGTGACAAGGGTGTTTCCATGGCGGGAGAAGTTAGGGTGCACTGGTAGTGATTGGGAAGCAAGACGGAGGCAGCGTCCTGAGCAGGTGGGAGGCAGGGAGGGGTCTTGTTTGCACGGGCACAGGGCTGGGAGCTCAGGTCAGCTTGTTGTCATTGCAGCAGAGAAGGGAGGGGGGCAGGAATCTGCAGTGAGGTGTTGGGGGCTTGTGGCTCTCTGATTGCTTCTGGTTTTTCAGGAAAACAGGAAACGAGGTCATCAGCTGAGAGTCAGGTTTGGGAAGGACGGGACACAAATTTGGAGAGAAGGGGGGCCTAGGTCGCTGGAACGAACCTATCAGATTTATTGACCCATTGCAGTGAGTGAGACCACGCAGCGGTGGAACATGGCCTCTCAATCAGAGGAAAAGAGTTAGTACAGAATTTGCGGGATGGGTGGAGTTTAGGCAAAATTTAAAGAAAGTGATGTTTTGTTTTGGTTTTTTTGTTTTTTTGTTTTTAAAGATTTATTTATTTATTTGAGAGAGCGAGAATGAGAGAGAGTACATGAGAGGGGGGAGGGTCAGAGGGAGAAGCAGGCTCCTCGCTGAGCAGGGAGCCCGATGCGGGACTCGATCCTGGGACTCCAGGATCATGACCTGAGCCCAAGGCAGTTGCTTAACCAACTGAGCCACCCAGGCGCCCAAGAAAGTGATGTTTTAATGGGCTCAAAGTGAAGCAGGGCGGCCTGGAAAGAGGTCAAGATCTGATCTGGACTGCCAAGTGCACCCCAGGGTCTGGTTCCCGGGAGACCATGCGGTTCCTGTAGATGCGTGTCGTCTCGGAGCCTGCTTCTCTGCAGCTCTGCACCCAGTTGGAAGTGGAGGTGGCTTCCCTGTGTCAGAGGGACAGCTCCGCCCGGCAGGAGCGGGATGCTTCCCTAATTCTGGTAGGACTTAGAGTGGCAAAATTTCTGATAGCCTGGGGCTTCAGAGAGCAGAGTTTCTCAGTGAGTAAGAAAGCAGTCATCATTCAGAGAAGGGAGTTGCTGATACTTTGTAGCCGCAGTGTGAACCTAGGAGAAACGCTGTTTTCTTTTTTTTTTTAATTTTTTATTGTTAATGTTAGTCACCATACATTACATCATTAGTTTTTGATGTAGTGTTCCATGATTCATTGTTTGTGCATAACACCCAGTGCTCCATGCAGAACGTGCCCTCTTTAATACCCATCAGCAGGAGAAACGCTGTTTTCTATGAGCTTTGCAGCTGGCTTGGTCGCTCTCTGTTGTCCCAGCACTATGAATGGCAGGTGGGTTTACTGTCTCCAGGAGAAGGCATAAAAGAGCTGTCTTCTGATTCTCTTCGTGGCTGTCGCCTCTCGGGCCTTTGGTCTCAGCCTGAATCCTCAGAGAGGTCTTCTGGGCCGGCTTCATCCAGGGCATCTCCTCTCTGTTAGTCTCTGTCCTTGAAAGCTCAGCACAATATACAAGCAGGAGCTTTTTTGTTTACTTATTTGTTGTCTCTCCCCTCCACTGGTTTCTCCCTTAGGTCCAAGAGGACAGGAGCCATATCTGTTTATTTCCTCACAGATCCCCGGTGCCTAGAGCACGGTTGAGCATGTGGAAACGGCTTCATGCATGTTGAGTGAATGAGTGGCAGGCATTCGGTGATGGAGGTCGGGGAAACGGGGGGTGGGGATGCAGGACTCTGGGCTCAGACCAGCGGGCCGGGCTCTGCAATGGCAGCCAGGCTGTCGGAGGACTTCCTGCAGCTTCTGCTCCATCCTGGGGCTCCAGGGCGCCGGCATGCCCAGACCCTGCGAGGGCCCCTGGGCAAGGCCACTGCAACTATTGCCATTTGTCTATGTGCACAGTTGCAGTTTTCATTCAGCAAACCTTCTTTCTGGTACTTTGTGGCAGAGTATTTTCAAACCAGTGCCTGGGGCCAGCCAGGACACTGAGTGGCCCAGGTGTCTGGGTGGAGACCTGAGCTGGGAGAACGAAGATGCTCCTGGAAGGTAACCCTTCCTGTGACAGTCGTTTCGGACACGGGAAGCACAGGGTCAGTTCTGTCACTAGTGTCCCCAGCACGTACCAGTACTGACACTTAAGTGAGCACACCGGTATGCCCATCTCCCTTGTCCACTCTGGTTCACACGTAGCTCCTGCCTCAGGCACCCTGAGTGTCAAGCAACTGACGTCCAGGGTCCTTCCAGCTGTCTCTCCCCTCTGGGCCCCTCGGCCACCCCACAACTAGGCAGTAATGCCCACCTCCCCCATGAGCCTCACGCCGGGCTCCAGTGCTAGAGCAGAACTGGTGAGTGTCCAGCCTTCTCGGCGGTGACTTGCTGCGAGGATCACCTGTGGATCATCCTCTCGCTGTTCTCACCACCGTTTCTCCAGCTCCTGTGCTTCTCAGCTCTTACCCCACCCTACTGCCAGAGCCCTCACCCTGTCTCTTCCACCCCAGTACATCTTTCACACCTGCTGAAGAGTAGCCTTGCTTCTTAAAAACGTACTTCCAAGGAATATCCGAACTCCTTAGCTGGGTTCAGGAGGCCGGCCGTGTTCTCGCCCCCACCCCCCCATCCTATCTAATCTCCACTGCTCTCCTTTGTCCGTCTGTCCTGGCCCCATGGGACTACAGATGCAGCTTACTTTCATTTTTCATTTGTCATTTTGCTGAACTGCTGTGGGAGAGACACAAAGTCAGACACACACATACCCCTTCCTTCTAATCAAATCCAGAGTGGATGAGCCCAGACTGGCTGAGAATAAAAAGACACGGATTGTGGGAACGCCGACACCGAGCATTTAGAATGAACCTGGTAAGCGATACCTTCTTTAATCCTCACAAGGACCCGAACGCATGCAGGATCCTTGGGCAAGAGAGGCCCAAGAGGCTGTGCCTTCTTTTAACCCCTTGTCACCCAAACCCCTTCACGGATGTGAAAGCTGGCTATGGTTACTTCTTGTTTGCTATTACACGGCAGGAACCTGCCGAGCACAGCGGCATGGGCGGGAAAGCCCAGAACGGCAGCCGAGGCACCCCCCGCAGGGCGCTGCCCGCAGCCCTGGGGCTGCTGCTGCCTATGGCCCTCCTGAACGCGCTCCTCTACCTCTGCCTGGCCTGGGTTTTCATCGCCCCTCCCCGCTCCGCACCGGCCTCCGCCCACTGTCCCCGCGGACACTTCAGAATGGGACAGATGAAAAACTGTTCACCGTGGCTGTCCTGCGAGGAGCTGAGGACCGAAGTGAGGCCGCTGAAGCGTGTCGGGGAAGGAGCCGTGAAGAGAGTGAGTGCCGGGTAACATCCGAGTGTTAATGGGGTGGCCTTTCAAGGTGGCAACTTGGCATTATGGGTTACGGCTCCTCAAAATATTTCTACCCTTGAGCCCAGTGATCTCATGTCTGGGACTTTATCCTAATCCAGTGGAAGGTAAAAAGCTAAATGCATCAAGGAGTACTTTGTTATTTATAGCAATAGAAAACCAGTAGTAATTACTGTAAGGGAATAGTTAATTATGGTCTGGCCACTTGATAGACTATTCTGTAGCCATTGTGTGTTTAGGAGCCCCTTGTAGCAACATGAAAAAAATCTTATGAGGATGAGTGAAAAAAGCAAAATGCAAAATTGTACAATACATGATTTTCAACTGCAAAATTAATGCAATTTACGTAAAAAAATATAGAAATGATAGAAATTGTGCTATGGTGAAAGATAATGGGCAGTTTTTTTCATTCTTATTTTTCAAACCCTATCATGGTATTATGTTGACTTTTTAAAAGCTTTTTATTTTAAAAAGAGAAACCAAAGGGGTGAATTCGGATAGAAGCTTCACGAGCCCTTGTCTTCTAGGCAGCCGGTGTCTGCTGGCTGCACTTTGTGCAGTGTCGGTTCTGTGGTAGCTGAGACCCACTGACGCAGCAGTGTCTCTAGGGGCCAGTTAAGGACTGTTGCACAGAGTCCCTTTGTGCGGACATATTCAGTGATTGGCAAGAGGGAGGGAGCAGAAAATGCATCCATGGGCCTGCAGCTTGATGAACGGCTGGCTTTTGTTTTGGGAGACTAGGGTACCATGAATGTGGAAAGAAGACATCTTATTTATGGGTTTTTTTTTTTGTTTTTTTTTTAAGATTTTATTTATTTACCTGAGAGAGAGAGACAAGAGATAGCGAGAGACATCATGAGTGGGGAGGAGAGGGAGAAGCAGGCTCCCCGCTGAGCAAGGAGCCTGATGCCCTGGGATAGTGACCTGGCCAGAAGGCAGACGCTTAACTAACTGAGCCACCCAGGCGCCCTGGAAATGAAGAAGTCAGGGAGAAGGGAAAGGAATTTTTATGCAAAGTAAAACCATAGAACAAGGTAACTGTTTTTTTTAAAGATTTATTCATTCATTGTAGGTGCTAGAGCTGTGGCAATGAATTAAACAAAGACCGTTGAAGCTTTCTAGTTGGGGGATGAGACAATGAATAAGAAATAGATACGCAAGGGGCGCCTGGGAGGCTCAGTTGGTCAAGCATCTGCCTTCGGCTCAGGTCATGATCTCAGGGTCCTGGGATTGAGCCCTGCATCGGGCTCCCTGCTCAGCAGGAGTCTGCTTCTCCCTCCTACTCTCCCTCTGTTCTCTCTCTGTCTCTCAAATAAATAAATAAAATCTTAATTAAAAAGGAAAGAAATAGATATACAATAAAATATGTTAATGACATGTGCTGGGAAGACAGCAGGGCAAGGAAAGAGGCACGGCTTGCTATTTTAGGTGGTCAGGGTGATCTGAGAGTGAGTCGTGTGGATATTTGGGGAAAATATGTTCCAGTAAGAAAGATGGGTACCAGCAGAGGCCCCAAGATGGAACATGCCTGGTTGTTCGGGGACCAGGGATTAGCCAGTGTGACCAGAGGGCAGGATGAGAAGGGAGATAGCACACAAGGTCAGAGGAGGGCCAAGTGGTGACCAGGGCACGGGGGGCTTGGTAGGACCAGGAGAGCCGTTGGAGCAATTTGAGTAGAGAGAGAAGGTGTTGTATGTTTGCAGAGGAGACCAAGGTGTTGGTGAGGGTGGAAGATTGGTTAGGCCTTGCAGGGGAGAGATGGTCACAGCTTGACAAGGGTGTTAGCTGTGAACCTAGTGAGAAATCAATGGATTCTGCTCATGTTTTAAAGGCAGAGCCAGTAGGATTTCCCAATAGATCCGTTGTGGGGTGTTAGAGAGGGAGAGGGTGACCACAAGGTTCTTGGTCCAGGCAACAAGATTAGGGTTGTCATTACCTGAGCAGGGAAGACCAGAAGAACAGATTTTGTGTGTGCGTGAGGTGAACATGTTAAGGCCCTGAATGAACATGAACGTGGAGACACAGATGGTTGGATGTACAAGTCTAGCATTTGGGTCTGGGGCAGTGGGTGGGAATATACATCTGGGATGATGTTGAAAGCATTAGGATGTGAAGAAAACACCAGGGAGGGATGTCGATAGAGAAAAGGGCTTACACCCAGGTGATTTCTGTCTCCTTCGAAGCGATGACCTTGAGGGGTTGGCTGCCCTCTTGTTTCTGTGTTACTGCTCAGATCATTTTTGGATTTCATTTTCAGAATTGCTCTTTACCTTCAAGGATATATTTTTGGGTAGGTAGCTTTTTTTTTTTTTTTTTTTTTTTAAGATTATTTGAGAGCGAGAAAGAGCAGGGGGAGGGGCAGAGAGGGGGAGAGAGAGAGAGTCTTTTAAGCAGACTCTGCACTGAGTGTGGAGCCCGACACGGGGCTTGGTCTCACGACCCTGAGATCATGACCTGAGTCAAAACCAAGAGTCGGATGCTTAACCAACTGAGCCACCCAGATGCCCCTTGGGAGGTAGCTTTTTTTTTTTTTTTAAAGATTTTATTTATTTATTTGAGAGAATGAGAGACAGAGAGCACGAGAGGGAAGAGGGCAGCGGGAGGAGCAGACCCCCTGCCGAGCAGGGAGCCCGATGCAGGACTTGATCCTGGGACTCCAGGATCATGACCTGAGCTGAAGGCAGTCGCTTAACCAACTGAGCCACCCAGGTGCCCGGGAGGTAGCTTTGATGGTGGCAAATTGTTGTGGTTTGAACACAGATTGGAGTTTGGGGAGCTCTACAAATCATGCCCATGCAAATATGGGGTTTAAAAATGTGGATAATAACTCTGAGTCATGTAGCTTTGTTTATTAAAGTGAAGTATGACTGTAAGACCATTACATTGATTTTCTTGTGTCTTTGGCTGAAATTTGCCCTCAGGGCAAAAGCATTTTGCTCCCTGGATGTTAGAGCCATCAGTGAGGAGTCTTGTCTGTCTTGCCCCCTTGAGCCCCGGGGCCCAGGGCCCGTGTGGGTCCCAGCACAGGGCAGCCTCTCATTCGTCCGCATGGTCACTTAACGGCACAACTCCCTGCACGTAACGCGTTTCCCATCACTGGGACCAGCTCCTCCACATGGGCACCGCTCCGCACTGACACCCTAAGCTGGAAGGCATAAGCTCCTCAGTAGGAATTTCTGTAACCAGAGTTCTTGGCATCCTGCTCTCTGACCACCTCCTCTCCCAGGGCCCTTGCGTCCCTTGCAATCTCCTCGGGACCTCCGGTGTGTTGATCCCATGATGGTGTCACTTTCTGTCTTCATTCCTGCATTGACCCAGCAGCAGGGACTCTGTGGCTGTTACCCTCAAAGTCGGTCTTGTGCAAACGCATGCAGCAGCTCCTTTCCATCTTTCTCCATCGTGCCTGGCTGGAGAGCCCCAAACCCGGTTGACCCCAGCTGTGCATCTGCGTTTGAGCAGAGATGTCCCACAACCCCGCGGTGTCATGTTCCCACAAACCTCAGCCGTGCGCTCAGCACAGCCCAGTGGTCCTACTCTGGCCCCTCCGCGACTTTTCCTTCCCCCTTGCCTTAGCTCTTGGTCTTGTTGCATAAGTTGTTATGGAAACAGGAGCCGCCCAAACGGAATTTCTTCATCCTCGGCCACCAGACCTGTAAGCCCTCCAGCTCAGGTGTCATGACTTCTCATGCTGTCTCTCCCTGAAGCTGTCCACTCTCCTGCACCCTCAGTCAGGTTCTCAGGTCAGCGGTTCTCAACCAGAAGTGATTTTGCTCCTCAGGGGAGCATGCAGCCACCCCCTTCTTTCCCCAGACTGTGTATTTTTGGTTTGTGTTTGGGATTTCCTGGAGCAGTGTGCAGCTCTGCGCCTGAAAGGCAGATTGACCCATTGCTTTTTCCTTTTTTCTTTAATTTTCTTTAATTATAAAAGCACTACATTCAATTCAAATATGCAGAAGGAGGGGAAGTACAAAGTAAAAAGTTCCCTTCTACCTCTTGTACTCTCCATCTCTGATCTTATTCTCTGAGGATAACAGTGGGAGGTTTATCTCTTTTAGATTTTTTTTTGGTAAATTTTATTTCATGTGTATCTTTTTATTAAGTTTTTATTTTTTAAATTGTTGAAATATTTTTTTTTATCAGTTACTTTCTTTTAAATTATGTTCAGTTAGCCAGCATATAGTACATCTTAAGTTTTGTTGTAGTGTTTAGTGATTCATTAGTTGCGTATAACACCCAGTGCTCATTCCAACACGTGCCCTCCTTAATACACATCACCTGGTTACCCCATTCCCCCATCCCCCTTCCTTCTGTAACCCTCAGTTTGTTTCCTGGAGTCCAGAGTCTCTCATGGTTTGTCTCCTTCTCTGATTTCTTCCCATTCAGTTTTCCCTCCCTTCCCCTGTGGTCCTCCGTGCTATTGCTTATGTTCCACATATGAGTGAAACCATATGATAATTGTCTTTCTCTGCTTGACTTATTTCACTTAACATAGTCCCCTTCAGTTCCATCCATGTGGATGCAAATGGTGGGTATTCATCCTTTCTGCTGGCTGAGTGATATTCCATTGTATATATGAACCACATCTTCTTTATCCATTCATCTGTTGAAGGGCATCTCAGCTCTTTCCACAGTTTGGCTATTGTGGACATTGCTGCTATGAACATTGGGGTGCATGTGCCCCTTCTTTTTACTACAACTGTATCTTTGGGTTAAATACCTAGTAGTTCAATTGCTGGGTCATAGGGTAGCTCTACTTTTAACGTCTTGAGGAACCTCCATACTGTTTTCCAGAGTGGCTGCACCAGCTTGCATTTCCACCAACAGTGTAAGAGGGTTCCCATTTCTCCACAACCTCGCCAACACTTGTTTCCTGCCTTGTTAATTTTGGCTCTTCTAACTGGTGTAAGTTGGTATCTCATTGTGGTTTTGATTTGTATTTCCCTGATGGCTAGTGATGTTGAACA